TGTTGATCACAAATTAGAAGATCTGCATAATTATGAATCCATAGGATTCTTAGAATTCTTAGGATTTATCTGATAAATCTTATAAACTAGATAATTATTATAATACTTATTTCCATTATTTTAATTATTATTATTATTATTATTATAGTTATTATATTTGTTATTATTATTATTATCATTATAATAGCATTTATAATTACAATGTAATTAGTTTATAACGTAGTAACTAGTTAGCTATAGCAAATTAATTTTGTAGAAATAGAATAGCTTTTTGCTTAAGTTGTAAAAAAACTCATTTGTGAGTTTTAAACTTTATTACAAGTTTTAGTTTTATTACAAGTTCAAGTAATAAATAAAGAAATCAACTTTGAAAAACAATTACTTTCTTTTCTATGTATCTATCATCTAGGATTTGATTGTGAACTACTACACTAACTTGCTTTTAAGTTCGTCACTTAGAATAAATAAATTTTCTACATTTTTCTCTAAGTCTCTAAACTTTTAAGTTTGTAAAGTTAAGTAAAGTAATTCTAAGACATTCCAAATACCTGTAAGACGTGAGATTCCCTAAGGTTGTAAAGTTCAATGATAAGAAATTTATTTACCACAATAAAATAACTTAATGAAACATGTGCAATACAAAGAGAATTATTTTCAGTAACAACAATTATTGTATCACAGTATATGAATAATTTTTCAACTATGCACAAAAAAATTTAACAAACTTTTATTTTTATTAAATATATAATATATAAAATATAAATAACTTTATTAATTGGATATTATATGAATTATGAATAAAACAATTGAATATAATAATATTTTTTATTTATTAGTTTGTCAAATATGTTGATTTGCTCAATTATTATATATGTTATTCCAATTAAAATTATGAAAATCATTTAGTCTATTTGCAAATATCATTAAATGCATGTTTAGTGTATCATGATTCATCTGATTTCTTAATTTGGATTTGATTAATTTATGATAAGAAAATACCTGCTCAATTAATCAGTCAAAATTTTGATTTTATTATTTCTATTTCATTTTCTTTTTGAGATAAAAATTTGGGATCATGTATTATAAATTTCTGAATTAGGAAATTGATTCTTTAAAGCTTTAGTAATTACTTTAAAAATTTTAAAATAAAAGAAGGTATTAAATTAGAATAAATATTATTATCTACCATGTATTTATATAAAATTGTGCTATATGTTGAAAAAACTTCTTCAGTTCCAATAAATTGCACAGCTGATAACTAAAATCATTATTTTTAAAAAATGTTTTAATTCTGAAAGATCTATATAATCACATTGAAAAGTCTTGATCATTTTTAATAAAATGTACATTAAATTTGCTAGAAACATTGTTGATATAATAAATTCTAGATCAAAATTACTAACTAATTGAGAAGTTCAATCCCTATTTTCTTATCTTTAGAATTGTCTGCATTAATTATATTATTATTAAGAGCATCAATAATTGAAAAAATAACTTGATAGAGATTATGCATAACATTTGACATAGATAACTATTTTGTATTAATAATATTCAAGATGGTAAGTTGTGGATATTAATATCTTGCAATATAAACCAAAACATGAGTTCTAGGACAAAATTCCAAATAGTATTCAGTAAGATTCCTCTCTGCTCATGAATCCATTTTAGCTATATGAATCAAATTATCAAATTTAAGCCTCTAGCGCAATTTGACTTAAATCTAGATAATGATATCGAACTTGGTTATGAATTAACCTTCAAATATCAAGAATTATACTGTTTGATATAGCCATTCTAGCTTAATTTTAATCCCAAATAATATATTAAATAAATTTTACTATTTTATTTACCTCAGAAGGGACCATTAAAAATTAAGGAATGAAGTGATACAATTTGAGCTAGGCCTGACATTGCAAACCCAATATGAATATTAACTTTTATGCTATTCTGCTTGCCTCTGGAGGGACTATCGAAAATCAAGAAATAAAGTAACGTGATTTGAGCTGGACCTAATCATGCAAGCCTAAAATGCATATCATATTTTAAGTCTCACCTCTAAATCACACCTCTAAGTTGCAAGTTTTATCAAGTCTTACCTTTAAATCACACCTCTAAAAGATAACAAATTTATAAACCAAAGTTTATTGAGCATGTTTTAGCATGCTAACAATTTCTCAATATACAGAAAACCTTTCAAACTCATTTTTTTTACAAAAATTTAGGACAAAAAATACATCTCTAAGGTATATGCTAAGTCTCTCATCTAAATTGCACCTTTTATCAAGTTTAATCTTTGAGCCTTATCCCACAATTTATTATAATATTGCATCACATAATATCCTTTAATATGTTCAGCACACTGTCTACAAGCTGTAGCAGTAGGTTTACCATAATCAGTACAAGGATAGCTTTCAATGTCGCTGACATCCTTCAAAATCGAGTGCAAGCTTTACCACAAGTCTTGCCAGAGTTATGAAGATAGTCGCAAGTATAAGATGCCATCATTTACAATAGGAATAAAAAAATTTAATTAAACAAAATTATCTGCAATATAGAAAAGTGAATGGCAGATATACCTAAAGGTGTAATTATTTTTATTTAAATAAAAGTTTACACAATATTTAATAGGTGAGACTTATTAATATTATGCCTAAAAGTAATAAAAAACATTGTACATGTAGAGATTGTGGTTATAAATTTATAAGACTTGCTAAACTTCGTCAGTATTATAAAGTAATAAAAATCAATGCAGACCAGATCCTGAAATTATTATTCAAGAAAAACAAGTAGAAGTAGATATCCTAACTCCAATTTTTGAACCAGAACCACAGAAGAAAAAAGAATCAAACCACTCATTTGTTTATAGATGATTTGGTTAACTGACTAGCAAAACCAGAGATAAAAAATAATCCAACTATTACCAACAAAAAGCTATTCAAAACAGATGCAGAATGGTTCGTTTTGATGAAACAATTTTCTAGTAAAAAAAAAAGAAAACTAAAATTTCTCAACCAGAAGAGGATCTTGAAGCTGGACTTGGCCTAGCAATCCAAACGTATAGAAAGGAAATCCTGATGAGGTTGAGAAGCAAGACATGATCCCAAAAGAATCCACTTAAGAGGATATTCACTTTGAAGAATATTCAGTTAGAAGGAATCTAGAAAGATCACATAAAAATCGATTTTTAATAAGCAAATGAATAGGAAAAATTCCCTATTCTGAAAACAACCCTACATATGCTTTTATTTAACCAATAGCTGATCTTATATAATATAAAGAAATTCCATATATGTTCCAACTTATGGGACTAATTCGTACGAAAATAACAGAAGTTCTTTAAATAGAGTTTCATAAAAAAGACTAAAAAAAATCAGCTATAGTAGCATTGTGTCTATATTCAATTACTAAAAGAGATTGAGATAACACAAGTCATACATTATTTGTATACAATCATGAAAGAGTGAAGATGTGATATTTACTTTTAACAAATGATATAGATAAGCATATAACTAAATCTGCTGGAGAAATAGATAATCAGATTGAGAAAACATTAAAAAAGAATCTGGATATGTTTTCGAGCAAATTCTTGAAATATTTATTGAAGTATATAAATGCAATCGAGCAATAGGAGGATCTTATATTCCTATTCCAAAGAAGCTAGCCAATACAAAGTATACTATTAATCCTGATAATCATGTTCTTATAGATCTAGAAACAAATAGACCTTCTGAAAAGTGTCTTCAAGGTGCATTAGGTACATAATTCACTCATCAGGATGGACATACAAATCATCTTTAAAAGAATCTTTTATATTACTAAATATAAACTATATTTAGATATTGTCAAGCTAGACTGAATCCCAATGCTCACTCCTATCTGCTCACGTATATTTAATAAGATTTAGAAGATGAATCCAGAAGAAGAAACAGTTACTCCAAAACCTGTGATAGTTAGTTAAAACTTTAAAAGAAAACATAAAATTCAGCTATTAGCCCTTACAGATATTACTAAAAATAATGAGACAGGTAAATATAGGCAAAAGAACTATTTTCTCTGGATTAAGAATCCTAGTAAATTATTTATGGTAATAATGCGCATAAAGCTAAGAAATATCTATGTGATGGATGCACTATAAGCTGGTCTTCTGAAAAGTCTCTAGAATATCATTTAGAATGATGTCTAGGAATACATGAAAATGCCTCTCAAAGAGTCGCAATACCAGTAAAAAGGGTCAATGATTACGAGGAGTTCAAAAACTATGGTCAAATGATCAATGCCCTATGTGTTATTATAGTTGACTTTGAGGCTGATAATAAGAAATGTAATGAGACATATGGTGGAAGTATGATTAAACTCACTGAGCAGAAGGTCAATAGTTTCTGCTATTTGGTTCACTGGATCGATACTGGAAATGTATGGGTCAGTTCCTATACAGGGAAGAAAATGTCACACAAGAATTCATTTGAAGAATCGATCAAGAGCTGATCAAAATTAATGAGGTCTTAGCCATTAAACATGAGCGAATTGTGACTGAAAAAGATAAGAAAATTTCGTAAAGGCAGTTAACTGTTAGATCTGTAAAGGTAAGTTTGATATAGATATAAATGAAATTAAGCATCTAGAGAACAAAATAACTAGTCTTAAAGAGAATTTAAAAAAGGTTCAGCTGAATATAATGGTATTGAAACAACTATTGTTAAAGTGACTAAGGCAATTGCTAGCAAAAAAGCTAAAGCCAATAAGGTTTGGGGTCACTGCTATATCACAGGCAAATTTTATAGATCAACCCACAGGGATTGCAATCTCAAACTTCAGATACAGAATTAGAATACTCTAATTCCAGTAATATTTCACAACTTCCAGGCTATAACTCTCACTTGCTTTGTGAGTTTGTCGGGCAATCGGTTAATGCTTTTCATATCTAAGTTATAGCTGAAACATTTGAGCGATATAAGTCTATGAAGGTAGGTCTGCTTAAATATATAGATATCTAGCAGTTTATGAATAGTAGCTTGGCCACTCTTACAAAAAATTTGGGTGATGACCACCCAATAACAAGCCAATATTTCAAAAAATTAAGTTATACAGAAGAGCAATTAGCATTAGTATATCACAAAGGAGTTTATTCCTATAACTATATCAATTCTCATGATAGGTTTCAGGAGATAGAACTTCTTCCTATTTATGAATTCCATACTACTCTTAAAGGTAAGATCACTCAAGCAGATTACCAATATGCCCAAAAGTATGGGAAGAATTCAGTTGTAAGGATCTAGGTGAATACCATGATATATATTTTAAGACAGATGTACTTAGGCTAGCAAATATCTTGACAGAGTTTCGAAAAATATTTATGAAATATTATGAACTTGATTCTAGTCACTATGTGTTAGCCCCATCACTATCTTGGGATGCTTAACTTAAAATGACAGGAATTAGAATCAAACTTTTCAAGATATGGCTATGCATGATTTTATTGAAAAAGCTAAACACAATGATATATCTATAGTCTGTCAATAATTTTTAAGGCTAATAATCCTAAGATGAAAGAAGCCTATAACCCATCTCAACCAACTACATACAGTATATCTCATATGTAAACGCAATAAATCTTTATGATCATTCTATGAGCCAATACTTGCCTATTAGAAATTATTTATGGGGAGCTAGATAGGAATATTTACTCAAAAATCCAGATAAGCAAAAAATGTATCTTGATAGAATTCTTCAGATTTCAGCAAATACATCTTGAAGATGTTTTGTAGAAGTTAATTCCTATTTTCTCTTAAAAACCTATAACTATTTGTTAGATTTGCTTCCAGCTGTAGAAAATGTTATTGTAAAAAATAGGGTTCCATAATTCGATTTAATATTTGAATATTTGATTTGATCAAATTCAAATCAAAGAATGATTTATTTGATCAAATCCAAATTA